TTCGCCGCTGGATGCCGGCCCATCAGATACGGCAGCTCCCGCCGCGGCGTCGGGGGCCGGCTCGGCTCCGTCCGCTGCCAGCGGCTCCGGGGCCAGGGGGGTCTCCCCTTCCCAGCTGCCGCCCCCGCCACCAGGGTTTCGGGAAAGCAGCTCTGGGCGGGCTGTGGTCGCTCAGCCCTCGGCACCGCTGCCCACAGCATGCCCAGGGAACAGCTCACCGTCTCCGTGGCCGAATTCCCACTTCGGCCGCTGGCCGGGAGGTCTGGCCAGCACCGCCGCCTGTGCCGCTGGGCGGGTGGCAGGCCAGAGGTCCCGGGTGTCACCCCGAAGGTGGGTGAGCCACAAACCCGCTGCCACGTGTGTGAGGGCTGTCCGTGGCATCACCGGTGTGGGTGTCCCCAGGGTGCTGCTGGCAGAGCAGGGGGTGTCTGCTCCCATGGCCCCCTGTCACCCCGGCTCCTCGGGTGTCCCCATGGCCCAGCCAGTGACCCGGGGCAGGCACGCCATGAGCTGCTTACGTGGGCTGGGAGCATCCTGGCCGCGCTCCAGGGCCGGTTTTGAAACCCTCGGGCTCTTCCTCTCCGACGTCACCGGGATCCAGCTGTGCCGGCTGGAGCCTCCCTCCTCCACTGTCTGTGCCGGTGGGTGCCCGGCGCCAGCCGCTGGGACAGCGGGGGCACCCGCTATGGCTGGGCCATTGTCACCGCTGCGCCATGGTCACCGTCAGTGCTGCGCCACTGTCATCGTCACTGCTATGCCACTGTCATCATCACCGCTGTGCTGTGGTCACTGTCACTGCTGTGTCATGGTCACCCTCATTACTATGCAGTGTCACTGTCACTGCTGTGTCATGGCCACTGTCTCTGCTGTGCCAGGGTCACCATCGTCACTGTGTCATCATCACTACTGCCCAGTACCATCCATTCTGTGCATCTCACCATTCCCATCCCTCAGACACCCACCTCCATCCCCTTCCTCCATCATTCTCATCCTCGTGTCCGGGCCACCTGCCCAGGAGCCACCGTGGCTCCATCCCAATCTCACATCCCTGCCATTCCCCCCTCATCCCGCTCCCCGGCTGTGTTTGGTTTGGCACTGGCCAGGCCGGGGCGGGTGTAAATCCCGCCTGGAAACCGGAGCCGGCGGCGGGCGAGGGTCCGGCCAAAGCAAACACCGGGAAGGGGGGGTATGTGTGGTGTGAGTCACCGCGGCCCCCCCGCCGGCCCCCCCCGGCCCACGCTCGCACGCACACGGGGCCGGCCGCACGCTCCACGCGCCGGAACGCACCGGAACGCGGGCAAGCGGCAGCACGTGCCCACCGCAGGGCACCGGGCGAGCCGGGGCCAGCCGGGGCTGCCACGCACGGGCATGGAGGGCATGGGGGCATGTGGCCCTCACACAGGGTGTCACAGCGTGATGTGGTGTATGCACGGCGTGTCACACGTGGGTGGCACAAAACGGAGTGCCCCCCCATGTGCACAGCACGTTGCACACTTGCCTGGCATGTCCCATGACTGCCACATGTGTCACACGCCCGTGTGGGAGGTGGCACACCTGGATGGTGTCTCGTGTGTGGTGCATCACACACGTGCACAGTGTCATGCGTGCACAGTGTCACACGTGCACGGTGTCACACGCCTGGAAAGCATGGTGCTCCCCATGCCTGGATGATGCGCACACAAAAGGTGTAGCCCAGGTGTGCTCTGGATGCATCCCAAAGGTGTCACAAGTGTCCTGCACACCTCTGGGGTGTATCCCAGCTGTGACAGCATCCTGCACACCCACAGGGCACTTGCATCCGCCACAGTGAGGCTTGCAGTTTGCAGGACACCCACGGTGGTGAGGCCGTTGTGGCTGGAGCCGGGGTGTCCCCGAGGACCGTCCTGCGTCACCGGCAGCCGGAGACGGGGAGCGGTGACGCGCGGGGGCACGGGGGGCTGCCCGCAGCAGGAGCCCCGCGGTGCCGAGCCGTGCCAGCGGCCGGTGTTTCCCGGGAGGCGCTGCCGGGAAGGCCGGCTGCGGCGAGCCGGGGGTGCCAGCTGGCCGGAGTGTCCTGGCCGCGGGCCGTGACCTTTGCACGGCCGCCGGGGCCGCGCTCCCGGGCCGCCCTGACGTCAGGCCGATGACGGGGACCCCGCCGGCGCTTTCCGGTGGCTCCGCAAAGGTCACCCCGCGCCCCGGCCGCTCCCCGGAGCTGCCTCCAACCCCCCTGCATTCCCGGTGGCCCCTCGGCGGGGGTCCCCGCTGGGTGCCCGGCCCGCTCCGGCGTTGGCGGTGCCCAAATATATCCCAGGCGTGTGTCCCGGCGGGAATGCCGCGGCCGCGCTGCTCCAGACCATATAAAGGATTGTTGGTGCAGCCGCGGGCGGGAGCGCTCCGAGGGGAGCCGGGGGGTCACCGCGCTGAGGTTGGGGGTCCCTGCTGCTCCGGGGGGGGGGTATGCTGAGGTGAGTGGGACCCCACCCTCCCCACCTCCGTGCCTCAGTTTCTCTACTTTCAGACGTGTGACTCAGGGATACTCTGAAGGCTCAGCGTCAAACACATGGAGATGGAGTGTCCTTGTCACCCCCCCTGAGGTGCTGTGTGTCCCCCACAGGTGACTCTTGGGGGATCTTCACCTTCCTGTGCGCCGCGCTTTGCAACCTGCCGGCGCTGCCGGCGCTAAACTGCTCCGAGGAGCTGGGGGCCGGCCAGTCCATCCAGCAGACCTACGACCTGACCCGCTACCTGGAGCACCAGCTCCGCACCCTCGCCGGCACCTACGTGAGTCCCAGACGCACTCCCCGGGATATCCGCCCCGTGCCCAGCTGCTCCCACGCCGGAGGTCACGGAAATGCCTCATCGCCCCCCGGGGGCAGGGCGGCTCCTGGGCACCCTCCCCTCGGCCCATGATTCCGTCATGGGCGCGGGCATCCGCCTCTCCCTCCCCGCCGGCGTCGGCGACTCACCCGGAGGTTCCCCGTCCCTGCCCTGACGTGCCCTCGGCGGTGCCGGCACGTTGGGTGCCAAGCGGTGACTGTGGCACGGACTGGGCTGTGCTGGGAATGTCCGGCTTGGGCAGAGTGGGAAGGGGGATGTGATAAGAGAAGGGAGAGCTGGGATAAGTAGGGGCATGGGGAATGTGGAGACTGGGGACAGGGTGGACATGGAGACCTGACCCCTGGCACCCCAATTCCCTTCCAGCTGAACTACCTGGGCCCCCCCTTCAATGAGCCCGACTTCAACCCCCCGCGGCTGGCACGGGCCGAGCGGGTGCCCAGCGCCACGGTGGACCTGGACCTGTGGCGGGGCCTGACGGACAACGCCCGCCTGGCCGCCAACTACCGGGCCTACAGCCGCCTGCTCTGCTACCTGCGCGTGCTGGACGGGCAGGTGGGCACGGCCGAGCTGCGCCACCGCCTCGCCCACTTCTGCGCCAGTCTCCAGGGCCTGGTGCTGAGCATCGGCGGCGTCATGTCCTCGCTGGGGTACCCGCTGCCTGCTGGCCCCGCTGGGCCCCCCGCACCCCCGGGCGCGCCCGCGGCCCCCAATGACTTCCTGAAGAAGATGGATGATTTCTGGCTGCTGAAGGAGCTGCAGACCTGGCTCTGGCGCTCAGCCAAGGACTTCAACCGCCTCAAGAAGAAGGTGCCTCCCGCCGTGGTCACTCTGCGGCTGGAAGCAAGGGGGTTCTGAGCACCTGCTGGGTTCCTGAGTCCACGGCGCTGCCATGGCCATGCAGGTCCCCTCTTCCACCACCAGTGTGCCTTGAGAAATGGGGCTCCTGACCTCCAAACCACCCCACAACCTCATCATCACCTGGCAGTGCCTTGAAAGATGGGGCTCGTGACGTCAAGCGTCACCACAGCCACCCTGCAGCCCCTCCATCATCATACTGTGCCTTAAGGGACAGGGCTCCTGACCCCAAGTGCCACCACAGCCACCCCATGTCCCCTGTCACCACCAGTGCTCTTCAAGAAATAGGGCTCCTGACTCCCAGGTGCCACCACAGCCACGTCACAATCCCACTTTCATCACCATGCCTTAAGTGAGGGGCTCTTGACCCCAAGTGCCACCCACCGCAGCCACCTCACATCCCCTCTGTCACCACACTTTGCTGTAAGGGATGCATCTCCTGACCCCAAGTGCCACCAAAGCCACTCCATGTCCCCTCTTCACCACCAGCGTCCTTTCAAAACTGTGCCTCCTGACCCCAGAGTGCTGCCAAAGCCACCCCACATCCTCATCATCACCTGGCTGTGCTTTAAGAGGTGGAGTTCCCTACCCTAAAGTGCCACCACAGTCAGCCCACAGGCCCTCTGTCACTATGTTGTATCTTAAGGGACAGGTGTCCTGACTCCCAAGTGCCCTCCCATGGTGTCCCCAACCCCCAGGGTGCCTGTCCCCATCCCTAAAATCTTCAGCGGGTGTAAACCTCGCCCATCCCAAAAAGGACCAAGGCCCTCTGAGCATAGGAATAAACCCCGCCCCAGCCAGCAGCAAGCCCTGCCCCGGAGCAATAGGCTCCGCCCCAATGGCAATAAACCCCGCCCACTCGCTGTGTAGCAAGCCCCGCCTCCTCCCCGCAACAGCCCCACCCCCTTTGCCCAAGCCCCGCCTCCCCATGGCTGCCCATCGATGCAGCGGTGGGGCGAGGCCATGGGGCGAGGCCAGGGCGTGGCCGCTGTCCCGGTGCGTCTATGAGTGTTTATTTATTGGAGATGTTTGTTTATTTATTGGGGTATTTATTGCAGAAGATCTATTCTTGTATGAACGAATAAAAGCCTTTCTCCAGCCCCCTGCCCCACCCGTGCCACACCCCGCTGGGGGCCGTGGAATTCGGGATGTTCCCGTCAGTCAGTGCCATCAGCCGGGAGCAGAGCGAACATTCCACATTCTGAGCTCAGTGTGGGATTTGGGGTGTTCCCCTCTCTCGCAGGGAGGGCATCCGGGCCCCCCTGGGCCCAAATAACCCCACCCCGAGGACAGGCACGCCCAGCTTGGCACCTCCTCCCTGGGCACTATTTCGGGGTGCCTAGGATCATGTAGAAGGTTCCGGGCTGGGGCACGAAGCCGATGGCTTGCAGGCAGCGCAGCGAGGGCGTGTTGTGGGGCAGCACGGCTCCGTAGATGGGGAAGCCTCGGGCATACAGCTCCCGGCCCAGCACGGCCACCGCGAGCCCGGTGAGGCCTTGCCCTCGCCAGGCGGGCACGGTGTAGCCGTGGCGCATGCAGCCCTGCCCGTCCAGCAGGCTCCAGGACACCGGGCGACCGCGCGGGTCCAGCAGGCAGGCGGAGGGCAGCGTCCGCACCAGCCCCAGCAGGAACGCCCGGCTGCGGGCATTGCCCCCCAGGGCCCACGTGGCGTTGAGCAGAGGGACGTGGGATGGGGACACGGGTGCCAGGCGCAGGCCTGGGGGCATCCTGCAACAGGGCATGGCAGAGAGGGGAATGCTGAACCCTGTTCCCAGCCGGGATAGCAGATGGGACGGGATTGGGAGCCTCTGAGCCACCCAGGAGTGGGACTGGGGACCCCTGTGCCACCCAGGGATGTGCTCAGTGAGCCAAATCACATCACCCTGTGCCTCTCAGGGATGTGCTTGGGGACTCCTGTGCCACCACGGGATGTGACTATGACCCCCCCTATGCTGCCCAGAAATGTGACAGGTCTCCATGTGTCACCCAGGGATGTGACTGGCCCCTCAGTGCCCATGTCCCTCCAGTACCCCATGTTCCCCCAGTGCCCCTCACTCACTGCCTGCGGGGTTGGGGGGGCTTGGGGCTCATCAGTGCCCTGTACCGGATTGTCTCCACCTTCAGTCCCCTGGCACTGGCCACCTCCTGCACAGCCTCGTCCAGCTCATCCTGCATCCCTGGGACCCCCTGTCAGCTAGACAGGGGACCCAGATGGAGGGTAGGGGAGCCCTGTGCCCAGTGCCATCCTTACCCAGAATCTGGAAGGCTCTTTCCCGGGTCACCGCCTCAGTGCCCTCCAGCAGTGCTTGCAGGGCTCCCTTGTCCCGATAGAACACAGAGAGCTGGTTGGTGTAGTAGTCCCTGGGGTCCCTGTGTTCCTGGGAGGGACATGGAGCTGAGGGTGGCACCCCAATTCGCAGGTCCCCAGGGTGTGGGGTGCTGCTGCCAGAGCAGGGGCAGCCGGGGCAGCACCTCTGGGCGCAGGCGGGTCAGGACAATGCTGAAATGGGGCCAGGAGTCCACCAGCACCTCGTGGGAGGCTGGGTTCCCCCTGGCCACCGTCATCACAGTCCCCAGGACCTGCAAGACAAGGTCGTTGTCACCGGCAGGGCAGGGCAGAGGGAGCAATAACGTCCCTGGGGTCTTTGTCTGCAGCAGGGCAGGGGAGAGGGGACAGAGGGGTCCTTGTCACCACCAGGGCACGTGGAGAGGCAGAGGGGTCCCAGGGTCCTCATCACTGGCAAGGCAGGGGAGAGGGGACAGGGGACAAGGACAGAGGGGTTCCCGGGCATCAGCAACACTGACAGGGCAAGGGTGAGGGGGTAAAGGAGTCCCCAGGGTCCTCAGTACCGGCAGAGAGGGAGGGAGGGATGGAGGGAGGAACAGAGGGGTCCCCAGGGACTCTTGTCACCAGCAGGACAGGGCAGAGGGGACAGAGGGATCCTCGGGGTCCTTGTCACCGGCAGGGTGGTGGGCAGGCTCTTCCGCAGGGTCTCCTCCAGGAGCTGCAGCTGGGCTGAGCACCTCAGGATCAGCATGGCTTTGTGACCGTGGGGCAGGCAGTGAATCTGAGGATCCGTGGGGAGCTGGTGGCACTGGGGCAATATCCCAGAGTGTCCCAGTTGAGCACCCGTCCCCAGGGCTGGCCTGGTGCCCGGTGTTCAACAGGATGGACCCTGCCCGCTGCCCCCCAAGGCAGGGGGCACTCGCTGGCCCGTGACAGCTGGTGGTAACCATTGTCACCGAGTGCCACGCAGTCTCCAGACTCCCAGTCCACGGTGCCCCAGAACCCACGGACGCAGGATTGTTGCAGAGTGAGTGCTGGAGGAGCTGGGGACCATGGGAAAAGGGATGGGGAGAGGGACAAGGGCCGTGTCCGGTGGTCCTGTCCCTCTGTTATTGAGGGTCTCTCAGCAGGACAATGAAGATCCTGACGTGCCCAGCCCAGCTGCAGCGTCTGGAGGGGATCCTGAGGAAGAGCCTGCCCCTTGCCCTGCCGGTGATGGGGACCCCTCTGTCACCCCTGCCCTGTGCCATGATAGGAGCCCCAATGCTACCCCCACCCTGCCAGTGACAGGGACTCTGCTGTCACCCCTGCACTGTGCCATGACTGGGACCAATATCACTCATCTCTTGCTGTGATGGGGACACCAATATCCCCCTTGCCCTGTGCAGTGAGGGGACCCCAATACCACCCCTGCCCTTTTCCCTGCTGGTGACAGGGACCCCAGTGTCACACCCACCTCCTACCCTGGTGACGGGGACCTCTGTGTCATTAGGACCCTTTTGCCACCCTGTTCCCCACACCTGCCCCTCTCCCCTCAGCTTTGACCCTACATCTGCCCCCATGTCCCCCACATGGAGATGGAAAGCCCCCATCCCTGACCCAAATCTGTCCCCTCTTTGTCCCATGTTGCTGACCCCCTTTTCCCCCAGGTCTTTGGGGCAGTGCTGAACATCAACCGGGGCAACCCTGGCCAGTTTGAGGTGCTGGTGGACAAGTGGCCTGAATTTGGTGCTGTGCTGGCCCGGCCCAGTGGAGAGGTGGCCAGTGGGGACATGGGGCACTGCAGGAGGGGGGTGACACGGTGCCCTGGCACGTGCCAGATGTGCTCAGAGCACCTATGGGTGCCCCCAGGTGCCAGTGAACAACGGCTACTGGAACACACAGGCAGGGTTTTACCGGGACCTGGGGGCGTACCGGGCGCTGCTGGAGACCCCCGGCTGCCTGCACTGGGACGCTGCCTTCACCCTCATTGGTGGCTTGGGGACACCGGGGTCCTGGGGGGGTCCTGGGGAGGGATGGACATGCTATGAGAGGTGCTGGGCAGCACTGGGAGCGTGGGACACTGGGGAGAGCTGTTGGAGGAACTGGGAGGTACTGGTGGAGGGAATTTGGGCTGCTGGGGGACACTGGGGATGGGTGTTTGGGTGCTCGGGAGCACTGGAGGCCTGATTTGGTGTGCTGGGGTGGGGTTTGATGGGAAGCATTGGGGTAGGATTTAGGGGTGCTGGGGAGCATCTTGGTTGGATTTTGGGGTGCTGGGGAGCATCAGGGAATGCACTGCTGGCTACCCTGGAAGCAGGGTCCTGGGGGGTACTGGGGTTGGACTTGGGGATGTTTGGGGCACTGAGAAGCATTGCAGCTGGATTTGTGGGTCCTTGAGGATACTGGGAAACACTGGGGTTGTACTTGGGGATGCTGGGAGAAGGATTGGGGTACTGGGCACACTGGAAGCAGGGATCTGGGTGCTGGGAATAGGGTTTGGGGCTGGGGACACTGAGGAGGCCACTGGGGTCACATAGAGGGGCCGGGGACAGGGATGGTGGGGTGCAGGGGGAACAGGACACCGTGACATCCCCATCCCCAGGGCTACAGGACGGGCTGGCCACAGTGTCCCAGGACCTGGCAGGGAGGAAGGGTGTGGAGCTGGACATCGTCGAGTACTACTCCTACTGGCACCCTGACCCCAGCACCATGCCTGAGCCCCGGTGAGAGCCCCCCACCCTTGTCCCCACATGGGGACACTCCTGAGCCCCCCACTGAACCCTGCCTTGCCCAGGCCAGCCCCCGGGGTGCGCATCGGCTCCCTGAGCCCCTCACACGTGGACCTGCTCAACGACACATGGCCCTACGGGGGGAATGCCCGCAGCCGGCGCTACCTGGCTGAGATTTTGGGGCGCTTCCCGCAAGTCTGCCTGCAGGACAGCAGCGGGCAGCCCATCGCCTGGGTGCTGACGGATCATTTCGGGACGGGCACCCACAGCTACACGCTGCCCGAGCACCGGCGGTGCGGCCACATGCAGGTGGTACTGACGGTGGCGGCGCAGCGGGCACAGTCCCGCGGGTTCCCCACGTTCGGGCACACGGCGCTCTGGAACCGGCCCATGCAGCAGCTGCAGGAGCTGCTGGGCCACCAGCGCCTGCCTGGGGTCTGCCGCTACATCCTGCACAATCCCGGCCTGGACAGGGACGGGCCCTGAGGCCCCGCTGTCCCCTCTCTGTGCCCACCTCAAATTAAACAGCGATGTGGAGTCTCTGATGGCTGCTCTGGGGTTTTCTGTGTCCCCCCAGCACTGACCGTTACAGCGGTGACACAGCTTGGTGGCTCACTTGTCACCACTGAGGCACAGAGCGGGGTCCCCTGGGAGTCACCCCATTCCAGGGCACGCATCTCAGTTATTCTCAGTTCCCCAAGGGAGGGCTGAAAGCCTCAGGCAAATCTGCTCTGGTGGCACCTGCAGTGTTGCCCCCTCAACCGGGGCGGTGTCACCACAGCTGGGGGTGGGACTGGCGGGCACTGGAGGGACGGATAGTGACACACAGGACGGTGGGACAGGGCAGAGAGTGACAGTGTCACAGCGTGAGTCACGGTTTGGCGGGCTGATGAGGACAGACGGGGGGGGTGACAGTGTCCAAGGTGATGGGGAGTGCTGGGATTGGGGTGACAATGTCCAGGGGGACAGGGAGAACCACAGCGGTGACAGTGCCTGAGTTGATGGGGACAGTAACAGGAGTGACAATGCCAGGAGGCAGTGCGCACAGCTCGGGTGTGGCAGTGCCTGGGGTTACAGTCACTGACACGGATGACAGTGCCAGAGGAACAGGGAACACTGGGATGGAGGTGACAGTGCTCTCAGGGTGACAGGAACTGCCGCGGGGGTGACAGTGCGGCTGGTGGCAGGGACAACTGGGGGCTGACAGCACCCCGGGACAACCGGGGGGTGCCGAGGGGGGCGGGGGACCGGGACCACCGCGAGGGTGGCACTGGCCGAGGGTGCCCGTAGCCAGCTGCCCAGCCCGGCCCCGCCGCTTCCGCCCGGCCATGGGCAGGGGCGGGTCCGTCCCGCTGGTTCCCGGTAGCGGCGGGTCCCGCCCGGTTCCCGGTATTGGCGGCGCCGTGCCAGCTCCATGTCGCGCAGGGCAATGGAGCAGCCCCGGCGCATCACCGACTCCTTCCCGCGGCGGCGGCGGCGGGGCCCGGGGCGACTCCCGGGCAGGCTCAAGGACAAGAAGAACAAGGACAAGGTGCAGGTGAAGGTGCGGGACTGTCCCCACGCCCCCTCGCAGCCCACCCCGGACCCGGCGCTCCTGGAGATGTTGCGGCGCTTCGATCTCTCCTGGGAATACGGACCCTGCAGCGGTGAGCAGCCCCGGTTTCCCCGGTTGTCCCGGTGGCCCCGGCTTCCCCCCCGGCCCCGCTGAGCCTCCAGTGTCCCGCAGGGATCACCCGCCTGCAGCGCTGGGAGCGAGCACAAGAGCTGGGGCTGAGCCCCCCTGGCCCCATCCGTGACGCCCTCCTGGAGTACCGGGACAACCCCGATGTCACCTACAGGTGGGTGTGGGGTGGAACGGGACGGGACGGGTCGGGTCGGTGGGCGGGGGGCACAGGGCATCCTCTCCCGGTGCCCCTCGCCCTTCCCGCTGACCCTCCTTGTGCCCCCGCAGCCTCTGGCACGAGTATGATCTCTGAGCCGCCGCACCGAGAGAGAGGGGGGGACCATTCCGGACGCCCCCAGACCCTATTCCAGGGACAACGGGTGGATTAAAGCTGGTGTGAGCCAATGAAGGGGTGCCATGTGTTGTCGGGGGGGGCACGGGGTGGGGCGAAGCCATTGGAGTTCAGGGGGAGGGAAGGGAGTTGCATCCCCCACTCAAAAAAGCTAGATGGGGTGTCCAAGCCACACAGTTTGATGCCGCACAGATGGGACCCAGGGAGAAAAATCTGGTTTTGGGTGGAGAAAGGGAGGTGGGATTTTTTCCTCAAGAATGGGATGAAAAAATGAAGAATGAGATATAAAATGAGGTGAAAGTGGGCATAGCGAGGTGAGGCAGGTGGCTGTGGATTGTGGACATGTTCAGCAGTGGGGTGGGAAGAATGACACTGTCCTTTGGGATTTATATGTTTAGTAGCCCTAATTAGCAGCTTTGCTACGTGCAGAACCGTAAATGACAGGACATGTCTGTTAATTACTCAGGTTATCAATGTCTTAATTCACCAGCTCTTTCTGTTGCTTTATCAATAAATAAATTGTTTCTATCCCAAGGCTGTAATGGAGCGTCGGAGGCAGCAGTAACTTGGAACAGTGTAGGATAGGGTGGGATGGGTGGGGGGCCACTCACAACTCCCATCCAACTTGCCCTGCAGGTTCCTGACCCTCTGGATTGTGTTATCCATCTGGATCTGGGGTCCCGCTGTTGGAGCTGCAGTCCCTTGGATATCTCTACAGGAACATAATTTCTCTGCTGGGCACAGGATGGAGGTGTTTAGGTGGACTCCCAAGAAATAAACACCATGCACCCAGCCAACCCAGGGCTGTGTCCTCCTGGTGGGAAGAAGGAGGGAGAGTCCGATCCTCCTTCCTTCACAGAGGGTCAGTCCCAACCTGGTGGGTATCCCGGGAAAGGGGGAAGTGTCTGGAATGGCTTCAGCCGCAGGAACAACCCAAGGAGATGGACAGCAGAAGCCTCAGGGGCAGTTCCAGCCAGGAATCTCATTCACTGGGTGGGTGGGTTTAGGTGGGATTTTGGGAAGAAATTCCTCCCTGTGAGGGTGGTGAGGCCCTGGCGCAGATTGCCCAGAGAAGCTGCAGCTTCTCCATCCTTGGAAGTGTCCAAGGCCTGGTTGGACGGGGCTTGACGCAACTTGGGCTAGTGGAAGGTGTCCTGTGCGTCAGGGGTGACATAACATGAAGGGACGCCATAGTGGGAAGGGGTTGACATCATTTCACGGGGTGGCGGGGGGAGCACGCGGCTTTCCCCTCTGCCACTGCCACAGCGAGCTGTGTGCTTCAGTCCTCCGCTGCCGGGCCTCGGGACTGCCCCGGTCCTGCTTCCAGCACCAATTCCAGAGGCCTGATCCCAGTCTAGGCGCCAGTCCAGGCCTAGGCCACGACGGTTGCCATGGCAGGCCGGAAGTTGATCTCGCGCAAAGGCCGCCGGGAGTTGTGGTTTCCTTTGTGCCGCAGAACATGGCGCCGCTGGGTCCCTGTGCCCGCCCGGTGGCCCCAAAGCGTTCACTCTGGTCCCTACTGACAGCACCCTACCCCCCAGATGCTCAGGATTACAAAGCCATCGGGGGATGCCATTTCCACACTTTATTGTCAGTGCAGGAGCGGTGTCGGTGTTTGTGCGTGTGGGGCTGAGGCAGGGGCACCTCTCAACCCCCGGCTGAGGGCGGGACGTGGGCGGGACGTACCGGCCCGTTGGCCACGCCTCCGGCGTCCGCCACGCCCCTCCCCTTGTTGCTATGGCAGCGAAAAGGCGCTGTCCCATGCCCCCACAATTAAAGAGTGGGTTCATCAGTGTGGGCGTGGCCAGGTGCATGGGTGTGGCACCGGGTGTGGTCATCACCACGGGTGTGGTCACAAAACGGGGCGGGGCCACCATCCAGGCTGGCCTGGCGCACCACCCCGCGCGGGCGGGACGAAGGTCGTGACCTCGAGGAGGGAGCCCCTGCTTCCTCCGTGGCCTCAAACACCTGAGAGGGGACAGCAGGGTAATCCCGTGCTGCTGTTACCCCACAGCTGGACCCCCCATCCCTTTACCCCTGCTCACCTCCCCGGCCAGGGGCTCTCCCGGCAGCTCGGGGGGCTCCAGCAGGCTGATGCTCCGCATGACAGAGCACAGGGAGATGCGGGGGCGCCGGGAGGCCCCCAGCAGCCCCCCACCAGCTGCCTCCTCCTCAGAGGGCTGCGGGGACGCCAGCGGGGAGGCCAGAGGGGACAGGCCACTTGTGTCCCTCGTGGTGTCCTCCTTGGGGTGCGGCGCCTGCTCGGCCTCCCGGGGCTCCCACAGGCTGCTGTAGCGGCTGCCAAGACCTGTCAATCAGCACCCGGCCACACCCCCTGCTGGGAGCCACACCCACTCGGCAGGGTGGGGTTCCCATAGGCTCCTCCCCCACAAAACGCACAACTTTTTTGGGTAGGGCGTGGCCACAGAAGCCCCACCCAATTCCACACAGAGGGGTGTGGTGATAACAGGCCCTACCCTCTTATCCCATAGCGATGTGGTTATGCCAGACCCCACCCACCTGTCCCAATCCACCTGTGCCCACCCACCTGTCCCCACCCTGTCCCCACCCACCTGGCACTCAGGATGCCCTGGTAGAAGTCGAGCTGGCGCATGAAGCCCGGGTTGGGCAGGACTCCGGGCCGGCAGTGCCGGACGTGCCGCAGTGCCCGCTCCAGGGGCCACCCGAACTCCTTCATGGCGTAGGCCAGCACCGTGGCGGCCGAGCGGCTGAGCCCCATCCGGCAATGCACCAGTGCCCGGCCTCCTGCCGCCCTGTGGCACCCACTGCTGACACCATGGCACGGGGGGCTCTCGGGGACACTGTGTCCACAGAGCTACCAGCGTGCCCCACCCACCCCAGAGTCACCAGGGACACCGTGTCCGCAGGGCTCACAGTATCCCCCAGCCGTCCCAGGATCTCCAGGGCTCCCAGCATCCTCCAGCCATCCCAGTGTCCCCAGGGCTCCCCATGTCCCCAGTCACCCCACTGCTCCCCAAGGGTCCCGTGCCCCAGCACTCCTCAGCTCCCAGTGCACCCCAGCAACTCAGTTATCAAGACCCCTTCCCATGTCCCCCTCTCCCCTACCCCACCTCCAGGCCCTGCCCCTCTGTGCCCCCCGATGTCCCCGGTGGTGCCACCCCCTGTGCCCACTGACCGGACACGGGAGAGGAAGAGGAAGGTGTCGTTCCAGTGGGGCAGGAGCTCGGCCGCCTCCTCGTCGTACACCCGCACGTTCATGTACGTGAACAGCGCCGGGAAGAAGTTGTCGATCTCCCGCGCCACATTCAGGATGTGGGTGACCCTTTAGTGACACGAGTGACACCCCAGGGGCACCCTATGATGACCCCATGCTGCCCCACGACAGTGCCACCCCATGCTCACCTGTTCTGCTGCAGCTCCTCCAGGTTGGCTGCGTTCCACTCGGAGCCCTGCGTGGTGACAGCGGTGAGGGAAGGGGACACTGCCACCCACCCCGCCCACCCTGCCCGCCCCGCTGCCCACCAGGAAGAGGTGCGGGAAGACCCGGGAAGGCCGATCCATCTGTGCCAGCACCAGCAGCATCTCGTTGTCAATGAAATCCTTGTGCTCGGCCAGGCTGTGCCCCGTGCGCCGCTCCAGCTCCTCCCGCACCTGGGCACCACCCTGGGTGAGGGACGGCCCTGCCCGGCCCTGCCCGTCCCCAAGACACCCTGCCAGGTGCCACCCACCTCCTTGGACGTGACGTTCTCCAGGTCGGCCGCGGCCATCACCTCCCGCAGCAGCGCCCGCACTGCCTGCTCCGAAAGCTCCGGCATCGCTGGCCTGGCACCGGCACCGCCTTGTCACAGGTGTCACCTGCCCCACCCAGGCCACGCCCTGCCAGGCGCAGCAGCCATTGGCTGGCAGGCTGGGGGGTGTGGCGGGGGCGTTGCAGGGAGCTCACCGGAGGGGCGTGGGCGAGGCGGGGCGCACGGACTCGAGGTCGGCCATGGCCAGCCACTCGTTGAGGCAGCTCTGCTCCGAGCTCAGCGCCGCTGCGTAGTCTCGGGCCCAGGCCAGCGCGGGGCCGCCGGGGATGTGCCCGCCGCGGGCCGCATCCTCGCAGGCGCGGTGCAGCTCCTGCAGCACGGCCCTGCCGCACAGCACCTGCCACCCCTGCACTGCCACTGCCACCCCAGCACCACCCCAACAGCTATGTCCCCCTCACTGGTTGTCCCCAGCTTGTGGGTGCCACCCAAACTCTCCCCAGCTCCTTCCCCATGACTGTGCCCAGGGGCCCATGGTGGTGGCCATGGTGATAGCCAAACGCCCCGTGCACACATCCCTGTGTCCAGCGTGGTGCCCACATCCCCATACCCAGGATTATGGATGCTGATTGTAAGAAAGCAGGCAGGGGAGCACAGAGCCTGTGTGAAACTAAGTCAAACAAAGTTCTCACTCTGGCCTGAGAAATCATATGGAGAAATCCAAACAGTCCTTAGAGAAGGAAAACATTTGCAGGTATTGTTTGGATCCTTGTAGTTTCCTTGTAAGAAACAGTCAAGGGGTGTTGTTCCAAATTGACCAGTGATGGTGATGTGTTGGTTTAATGACCAATGAGAGTTTTACCTCTTGGACCTGTCTATAAAAGAAGATCTGGAATAATTAAACTTGTGCTCTTGTGCAACCCAGAAGAGAGTCAGCATCGTGCTTTGCCATTCCTAATACAGTGCGACACCAGGATGGTGACAGCATCACCTGTGTTCGTAGCAGTGCCACATCCCCCGTGTCTGTAGTGGAGCTGAGATCCCCTGTGCCCATGGCAGTGCCCACGTCCCCAGTCCTCGAGGTGGTGCCACCCCCCTTGTGCTCACTGTGCCACCTTCACCCCCCGTGCTCAGGGTGGTCCCCATGCCCCCCGTGGTCACATCCGGGCCTCTCTCACCACATGGTCTGCACAGAGATGGGCTTGAAGATGCGTGTCTCTCCCCCTGATGTCACGCTGAAACCCCTGGGCATCATGGGGACATACGTGGGTCAGGGTGGGCACCCCGACCCCTCTAAGCCCCTCCCTGTCCCAAAATTCTGTCCCACCCTTACCCGTCGCCGTCGAGGAACACCTGGGTGTCGCTCCAGAGGGGCAGCACCATGCCCAGGGTGCAGAGGGTGGCCCTGGGGCAGGCAGAGGTCAGGGGGTGCCGATGCCACCCCCGGGCCCCCCCCCGCACCCCGCTCACCCCTCGTGGGCGAAATCCACTCCCAGCAGCGCCGTCTCCGCCTCGGCTCCCGCCTCCTCCGACCGCACCACCAGCAGGTACCGCACCCGCCGCGGCCGCGCCGACTCCAGCCGCACCGCCTGCCAGAAAGGTGGGCATCAGAGGGGGGATCTGCCCCTTCCCAGTGCTCCCAGTGACCGGGGAGCAGCGTCAGGCTGGGCCATATCCCCTCCTCATCCCACTTCCCATCCCATCCCTATCCCCATCCCATCCTATCCTGTCCCCATCCCATCCATATTTCATTCCCCTACTCGATGTTCCTGTTTCCATCCCACTCCTCTCCTGTCCTGTGC